GCAAGACAACCACAGAAGGTATCTTTCCCATCGGGTGAGCAATCTATCGGTTTAAAAGAGGGTATTCCAAAGGCTTTTCAAACAAAGTCCCATGCACTAACCCTCAAAAGTTTCCCATCATAACGACTACTCGTAAGACGGTAATCCCTTCAAAAGGATGAACACAGAGTTATGTTTTAGCAACCTTTGGAATAAGGTTCTACAAAAGGTCCTCAGAATCGCAGACTCGCAAGTTGAAGATAAGAACGCCATTACGACTACACGTAAGACATAATTATTCCAACGGGGTCTCATCTGAGCGGTGGAATTCGATCCAACTCAACGAGTCCTAAGTCTCGCAAATCAGAAAGAAACCACCTCCTAACTTAGTGCATACTCGAAAGCTCGGGTAGAAAGCTTTATCCTCACAAACCAAACCAAATGAACCCAACAAGTAGAGAATAAATCACAAAGCAAATTAAAGCAAAAAACAAAACACAAACACGACAAACAAATTAGGCTTGGCTCGCTAGGATTTCCCCAGCAGAGTCGCCAGCTGTCGCTACTCGAAAAATGCATCGCGCAACGACGGGGAGGCGAAAAGGATAGACAGAAGAGTCGCCATCGAACTTTATTTATCCCATGAGGGGAAAGGAAAATATCGAGAAAACCTTAAGAAAGGAATGGATAAGATGGTCTCGCAACCAAGAACGGGTTCGGAAGCCGGTTATGCGAGGGGAAGGTATTAGCACCCCTCGCATCCATCGTACTCGATGGGAACCTTTTGTTTGTCGATGTGTGAATTTATTTGCTTAAACATTATGCTATAAAGAAAGTTCTAAAAGAGGTAAAGGGAAAGGTTTAGAAACGAGAAACAAGGGGTGACGAGGGAAAGAAAGGACTCGATAGGACTTCGCGGTCCTAGGCCTACGTATTCTCAACAGATATGAGAAAGTCAGAGTCGACGTAGTTCGGGAAACTACGGGTGATAGGGGGATTGTGTGCTCGCCAAGGATTGTGGCCCTTGTGCCTACGTATTCTCATCTGGTATGAGAAATCAGAGCAGCCGTAGTTCGGCTAACTACGGTGTGTTGATGTTTTTTATGGATGATGCTATCGTGCGCATTCTAGCAGTTAGGTGTTTCGCTGCTCGCTCGTTGGAGACTTAGGCATTACCTGTTTGCGGTAGAATGGACGTAACATATCCTTTCGAAAGATTGATTAGTTTTCGCCACGCGGGGCTAGAAGTCACATTTGATTGATTGGATTGTTTTTTAGGGGCGAGATAGGTCCTCGGATAGTAACCCCTACGGGTAGTACCCAATTCATTGTCTCAAAGTTTTTGTTGTAAAAGGTGTGGCGAACGAGGCGTCTTCGTATTGAAAGGCGAGCGTCGAAACCACCCTCACTACAGTGGGCATCCCTACGCTCGGAGAAGAAGAGGTCTACACCCAATCCTCTCTCTTTAATTCAATGCAAAGAGAACTTCGTTCTCTTATTAAAGATGTTTTTGGTTTTGAATGGTAAGTGCTTTGCGACAGGGAACCCTACGGTAAACGTCAACACTCGGGATAGGAGAAGGCCTACGCCTAACCACTCCACGACCATTCAAGTTTTTGTTATGAAAAGATTTGAAAATGCACTCGGTACAGGACCGAGGTTTTAGGTGTGAAACGGGTTGCGGGATGAAATTGTGAAAAGGAGAGGTGGTGGACAAAGTCGCGTCTTCGTATTGAAAGACGAATATCGAGACCACCCTCACTACAGTGGGCATCCCAACATTCGGAGAGGAAGAGGTCTACACCTAATCCTCTCTTTTTAATTCAATACAAAGAGAATTTGATTTATTATGGAAAGTATACTCAGTACGAGACCGAAGTTTTATGAGGAAATGTTGGAAGCGTCTTTGTATTGACAGACGAGCATCGAGACCACCCTCACTACAGTGGGCATCCCTACGCTCGAAGAAGAAGAGGTCTACACCCAATCCTCTTTTTAGCTCAACACAAAGAAATGATTTAAAAGATGGTTTGACAATGTTTTTGAATCAAGTCGGGACAGGTAATGAAAAGAGAAAAGGGATGGTCTCAGATCCAACATTACTTTTCAATAATTTGACTGGTAATGAATTACGGAGGTCTCGTCATCGACCAAAACAGATGAAATGGGACAAAAATGTCCAATAACAAAAGCGAAATGGAGTTTAACTCTAAAAATATAAAATATTCTAAAAGAAATAAGATAAAAACTTCTAAACATAATATATATACAAAAAATTCTAAAGAAATTAATATACAAGATAAATTTAAAGAAATGAAAAAAAAGATATTAATATATAAAAAATATTTACAAAATAAAACAAAATAATATAATACATAATAATAATAATAATAATAATAATAATAATAATAATAATAATAATAATAATATATACAATAATATATACATAATAAACAATTACATATCGAAAATAAAAAGTTAAGAAAGAAAAATAGGGGGGTGAATAAGCTGAATCAGGGGGTCCTATGGGCTCAAAGCCCATCACCTTTTTTTTTAAAAAAAAATCAAATGACTACAACTTGATAGTAAAACACAATGGGTCACAAGCCCAAACACCACACATCAGAAAAACGCCACGTTAGAAGAAGAACAACGCATCATTCATAACCTTTCCTCAAAACAGAACACTGTCGTTGGAACTTCTAGAAGAGGACTTAATATCGCACGACCACAAGTAGAATGGGAAAAATTAAGAACTCAACCTTCTCTCGTGTATGGTTCGACTTCTCTTCTGACTCACCTAAATCCAACTTGATTTCCGTTTTGATTTTCTCTTCCAATCCTCATCTTAAGGAAATCATGTTTCGCATCTTCAAGTTTCTCCTCATCTCTTTCTGAAATTGGTTCTGATTCACTTTTCTTTTGACGTGCTCTGATGGTGGTTTGGTAGTTTTAGGGTTTGAACAAGGTTTATTGTTTGTGTGAAGGTTTGAGGGAGGATTCGAAGGTGAATGAAGAGAATGAGGTGCGATGGAGAGCGTAGAGGTTTCTGGGCTTTGATTTCGAAATGGATTTGGGGTTGGAAGTTGAATCTGGGTTTGAGGTTTCACGGCAGTTTTCACGGAGTTGTGAGGTTTGGGGATGTGAAGGTTGTTTGAATGATGTTCGAGCGATGGAAACTTGAGGTTTTCTGGGTTGAAATTCGTGAAGCATGCTTCTGGATTTTGGTTTGTGAACGGCGGAAATTGGAGTAATCAACATCTTGAAGCTTTGAGATTCAGTTTGTGTTGGCTGTTTGAAATTTCTGGGTAGGTTTATTGGTGAGATGAGTACGATGTTGAAGTTTGGGTATGATTCTCTGAGTATTTTCGAAGGTGAGTTGAAGTTTGTTGTTCAAAGTCGTGTTTGAAGGAAGTGTTTTGGTTGAAGAGTGAGTTCAGATGGCTTTGAGTGAGGTTAGGGATGAAGATGTAGGTGGAGTTGGTGGAAACGGAAAGGGTTGCGGCTAGGGTTTTGGTTGGAGGCCCCTCACATGTTTTTTGCTGCAACTTTCCACCTAGTTTTATATGGAGAGAGTGTCTGAAGAATTGAGGTGAGGCTCTTGCCCTTGTGGTACGATTCTCAGTCCTTTTTGTCTGTAGTGAGGTAAAAAAAACTTCAACTGATTTTCACTGCGGTAACTCCCTCTTTCTGCTTTTTACTGTGGTAATTAATTTGCAACTTCATTTGCAGGAATACGATTTTGAGAGGTGGCAAATCAAGGACAAGGAGCAAGTCGAGATTAGAAGTAAAAGCTTTGCAAACTTCTTGCTGACTTTACTGTTATTCATCTTTTCTGATTGGTGACAAGCATGTGTTTTTTTTTTACAGTGTAGATATGGTCTAAATGCAATCCTAACTCGGCTCTCATGGCTGTCGGCATGGTATTATATACGGCTGACACTCATTGGCATGAATGGAATGCAATGGAAGTAAAACTCATACGCTATTGCTCTCAAGTCTAAAAGTCTCCAACCAAAATCTCAGGTGCGAACGGAAATGCTTCTCATCATCATAATTGGTGTTAAAATAGATATTCACAATAAGCTTTCTATTGCACAACCGGTATCGGTCTTTTCACTTGGAATTTTAAGGTTAACAGCTTGGAATCTTTGTAACAGCGGGAAGCGCATCAAACCTTGTTCAGCTACTGATTCATGACATACCCCGGTGGTAAGTCCTGTGAGGACATCCATAACCTCCTGCGAGGGTAATTTGCTTGATGTATACTCTATCGGACACAGTTTTTTCGACATCAAGACGGAAACCTTCAATTATATTCACGGCCTATAATTGTGCGCCCTTTTAACGTAATAACTCATGTATTTTCCTTTCTTTATCGTGTTGAGCAGGAAATGTAGGCATGAATTCTTTAGACTTGGGAAGGGAACTTCACAAGACCATTCGTGGTTGAGAGCATCTTCAGCAGTGATCCTCTTTTCAGGGTCATAAGTGAGAAGCTTGTTCAACAAATAAAATCCAGAGTCAGAAAGAACTGGAGATCCCGTGAATGATGTTGCAGGAAGCTTTTTGCGCAGGAGATTATACCTCTAGAGAGCCTGATGGAACATAGTTCTATGTATTCCAGGGTATACAGGTAGCATCCTCAACCTGCTAGCTTTGATACTTTGTTGTGAAAATAAGTGTCATTTTCTTCAACAAAATGGACAGAATTCACTCTTCCACTTTATCATATGATTTCACTGTGTTGTGGATTGGTCATGATGAAATGGTTTATTTGTTATTGGTGTAGGTACAGGTTGGTTTGCTATTGGGCAGTATGTTGTTGTGATGCAGAGTTGGATGGTAGTAGAAATCTGGATGAGGCTTATGAGTGTATGGAGGTAGGGGTAGCAGGCTGGCACCTATAGTTTTTAGCAGCATTGCGGTTGAACCGGTTGGGATTTGAGCTTACGTATTCGTGTGTATCAGCACCTTGGATTATGTTCGGATGCTTTGAGAAGTTCACCTCCATTCTCTTTTCAAATAGCATGGATCCCTTCAGAAAATACACTGCCAATTCGGATTGGAAACCATCTCCCATCAAGTGCATGATCTGGTTTATTCCGGAGTATCTTGATTCTGACAATGTTACCATAAATGGAGAACAAGTTGAACAGTTTATCCTCGTCGATTCTATCGGGATTGAGATTAGTGACAAGAATTGTACACCTTTCATTTGTTCCAGTTATACCAGGAGGAAAATCTCCCCCGAAGGCTGCTGCAACAGCCGCAGCATTGCCCATCTGTGAGAATCCAGCTGATCTGGGTCCAGAACCTTGAACCCCATACATTCCTGCATCACCATATCCAGATTGTGAAGGTCGGCCTTTCTGCTCTGTGGGCAGATTTGGGTTTGTAAAGTCCCTTGAACGATCGTTATTGTAGTTCACTTGTAGTTCATCAAGGTTTGAGAACTGAATGTCCAGCTGACAGCAACCATCATAAATATTACGTCCCTGAAGTGCAGTTCTGGCAGTAATGGCACTTTGGCGAGTATCATACTGGATGAGAGCCTGGAGGCCAGCTGACTTCTGAAATGTTACAACTTTTTCCACATATCCATGGGGAGAAAATACTTGTTGTAGCACATCCACTGTTATAGGATACAACATTTGATGAACCGTGACTAAGAGAATTCGATTTGGCTCATCTTCTCGTCCTTGACTTCGTTGATCCACTGTCATCAGTTCTTGATGAGAGGAAAACTGGACATAAACATTTCTCCCCCTCATGCTTGGTTGAGCATTTTCATAAAATTGTATAGCACTAACTGCAGCAGGAATTTCATGCATTTGGAGAAGAGCCTGATTTTTGGCACGCAACATCACAAGCTTTGTTATGACTCCAAAAGGTTGAAATAGCTGAAGCAAATCATTTTCAGATATCTCATGACCAACATTTCGAACATGAATGACCTTGGAAGGTTCAGCCATTTCGAATCACCTGAAAAGAGATGATGTTATTGTAAAGTAGTGAAAAGCATGGATCTGGATTTTATCAATCTTGTAACTTGTACTTGGTGATGAATTTATTTTGAAATGGGCTTGTATATTTATGTAGAAACTTGTTGTGATATTTTGGCTATGGACTTTATCTTCACAAGAAAAAAAAATTTGTAGATTTTTTTGTATAATGTATACTAAATGTATGGAATTTTGAAGTTATAAATGGGCCTTGGTTGGCTATTCATGCCCTTGAATTTAGACTCTAAAAAGTCTCATGAACCAAATTCCACCATTTTGGATTCTCACTTAGGAAAGAGGTCTTAAAATCAATCACGAATCAATTTTGTGCCTTTGATTGAATTAAAACCTATTCTGCTGATGAATCAAACGAACTTCGTCACTTGAATCCAATGAGCATGAATATGCCTTAATTGAAAAGAACAAAACTCCATGTAATTCTCCCCCATAAAGCATTTGAATTTTCTGACTATGAGGAATGGAAGGATGTATAAATGAGAAATATATACAAGTAGGACAATTTTGGATATGCTTATGCAATGTGATATGCTAATGCAATGATGTGAAACATAAACCAAATGGAGAAAAGGTGGGGCAAATTTTGGGGTACAACAGTATGCTAGAGACGCTAGCCTCTTCTCATCCATTAAGCTCAGTTGGTTCAATCTGTTTTTCACCCATTCTGCCTCGTCTAGCTGAACATCTCGCAATACCCTCAGAGAAGGGATCTCAACTTCCAATGGTAATACCGCTTCCATTTCGTATACCAACGAGAACGGAGTTGCCCCGGTTGATGTGCGTACCGTCGTACGATAACCGTGCAAAGCAAAAGGTAGCATTTCATGCCAATCCTTATAGGTCACCACCATTTTCTGAACGATCTTCTTGATATTCTTATTGGCCGCCTCAACAGCGCCATTCATCTTGGGTCGGTAAGGGGAAGAGTTGTGATGTTCGATCTTGAAATTCTGACAGAGCTCCTTCATCATTTTGTTGTTCAGATTTGAACCATTATCCGTGATTATCCGCTCGGGAATCCCATATCGGCAAATGATATCTCTCTTAATGAATCTGGCCACCACTTGCTTCGTTACATTTGCGTAAGATGCCGCTTCCACCCACTTGGTGAAATAATCGATTGCCACTAGAATGAACCGATGCCCATTAGAAGCCGTCGGCTCGATCTTTCCAATCATATCGATTCCCCACATAGAGAATGGCCAAGGCGATGACATCACATTTAGAGGACTTGGAGGCACATGGATCTTATCAGCATAGATTTGGCACTTGTGGCACTTCCTCGCAAACTTGAAACAATCAGTTTCCATGGTCAGCCAAAAATAACCTGCCCGCAGCAGTTTTCTCGTCATAGCATGTCCACCAGCATGCGTACCAAAGGTACCTTCGTGTATTTCCTCCATGAGAAGCTTTGCCTCTTTTTCGTCTACACAATGCAACAGCACCAAATCGTGGTTTCTTCTGTATAATACACCATCCGGGTTCAAATAGAAATTACCTGCTAATCTCCTGAGAGTCTTCTGATCCTGACTGGATGCCCCAGCCGGATACTCTTTATTTTTCAGGAAATTAAGGATATCGAAATACCATGGTTTATCGTCAGATGTTCCGTCAATAGCAAATACATAGGCTGGCCGGTCGAGCCGAGAGATAATGATTCGGGGAGCTTCGTTCCAGAAGTTGACTTTGTACATGGAAGACAAAGTGGCCAGGGCGTCAGCCATTTGATTCTCGGCCCGCGGTACATGATGCAATTCAACCTTGTCGAAGAAAGGCAACAATCTCCTTGCATAATTCATGTAATGTATCAAATTGGGCTGACGTGTCTCCCATTCCCCTTTTATCTGATTCACCACCAGAGCTGAGTCTCCGTATACGTCCAGATTCTTGATTCGCAAATCAATGGCTTCTTCAAGCCCCATTATACAAGCTTCGTATTCGGCCTCATTATTGGTAACAGCAAAGGTCAGTCGGGCAGTAAACGGGATGTGCGACCCGTGTGGCGTGGTGATGATTGCCCGTATTCCACTACCATAAGCATTCACAGCTCCGTCAAATATCATCCTCCATTTGGAACCCAACTCTGGTCCCTCGTCTGGCAATGGCTCTTCACAATCTTTCATCTTTAAGTACATGATATCCTCGTCAGGAAAATCAAACCTCATCGATTGGTACTCTTCAATAGGCTGCTCCGCCAGATATTCAGACAGCACACTCCCCTTTATAGCCTTTTGCGAGACGTATTGGATATCATATTCAGTCAAGACCATCTGCCAACGGGCAATTCTTCCTGACAACGCCTGCTTTTCAAATACATATTTGATAGGATCCATCTTCGAGATGAGCATGGTTGTATGATTCAGCATGTACTGCCTCAAACGCTTGGCGGCCCAAGCTAGGGCGCAACAAGTTTTCTCCAGCATTGAGTACCGAGATTCACAATCTGTAAATTTCTTACTCAAGTAATAGATCGCATGCTCTTTTCTCCCCGTCTCGTCGTGTTGACCGAGAACACAACCCATGCTTCCCTCCAGAACCGTCAAGTACATTATCAAGGGTCTACCTGCCACTGGGGGTATCAGAATGGGAGGCTCCTGCAAATACTGCTTTATTTTATCGAACGCCTTTTGACAATTTTCGTTCCACGTTACAGCTTGATCTTTCTTCAGCAGCTTGAATAACGGTTCACACGTGGCCGTTAGGTGAGATATGAACCGGGTAATGTAGTTCAACCTCCCTAAAAACCCGCGCACCTCTTTCTCTGTTTTAGGCGTCGACATCTCTTGAATTGCTTTTATTTTAGCAGGATCGACCTCTATTCCTCTTTCGCTTACGATAAACCCCAGCAGTTTACCCGATCTCACCCCGAAGGTGCATTTGTTAGGATTCAGTCTCAGCCTGAACTTCCTAAGCCTTTTAAATAACTTCAACAGATTCCCCAGATGCTCCTCCTCTGTCTGGGATTTGGCAATCATATCGTCCACATAAACTTCGATCTCTTTATGCATCATATCATGGAAAAGAGTCGTCATCGCACGCTGATATGTTGCCCCAGCATTTTTCAAACCAAAGGGCATCACTTTGTAGCAAAATGTTCCCCAAGGCGTTATGAAAGTGGTCTTCTCCATATCCTCTGGCGCCATTTTAATCTGATTATAGCCTGAAAAGCCATCCATGAAGGAGAATACGGAGTATTGAGCAGTATTATCAACTAACACGTCAATGTGAGGAAGTGGAAAATCGTCTTTTGGGCTTGCTTTATTCAAATCTCTATAATCCACGCACATTCGAACCTTGCCATCTTTCTTGGGTACTGGTACGATGTTGGCAACCCATGAAGGATACTTCGTCACAGCCAGGAAACCAGCGTCCCACTGTTTCTGAACTTCCTCTTTGATCTTCATTGCCATATCTGGTCGAGTTCTGCGAAGCTTTTGCTTGACCGGCGGGCAATCTTCTTTCAGGGGCAGGCGATGCACAACCATATCTGTATCGAGCCCTGGCATATCCTCATACGACCAAGCGAATACATCACTATACTCTTGGAGCATTTCAACCAGTCTCCGCTTGATATCGCCCTGCGGCGCGGCTCCGATACGAATATTCTTCTCAACCCCTTCCGACCCCAAGTTGATAATTTCGATGACCTCGTCGTGAGGCAGAATGGCTCTTTCCTCTTGCTTCACTAACCAAGACAGTTCTTCAGGAACGTCGCTATCTTCGACACCCTCTTCTTCGGCCTGGAATACCGGGTGCTCGAAGTCGGGACGAGTCATAGGTGGTTCAAGGATGTCATCTGAAAATGTTATCCTGCAAAAGGAACGGTTAAGCGCTTCAAAATGCGTATAAAGCGAACGACCACGTTGCCATTTTATTGAAAAATACAAAACAAGAAAGACAGGGATTACAGTATTTGCACATGAAAAAACGCCGTTTATTTAATGATTAACACGCAATGTTTATAACAACACAGCCCTAAGCAAATCCTGATGCCCCGGGCAAGACATCAGATTATTCAACAATTAATAAAGCAAAGCATTACTGTTTAAAAGTCACAGGAACAAGCTCCTGAATAGACCAGTTGCACAGTCCTTGTCCTGGCGTGCTTGGCTGAATCCAGGCATCCATATCACAGTCGCTGTCTCCTTCATCCGACTCCGAAGCAGCATTGACAGTTTCATGACACACCCCACTGGCAGAGATGGTGATTGGCTTTCTGAAACGGGGTGCCCCCACGGAAGGAGTTGATGACGACGGTTGGTACCCCAGCCCGAACTGGTCCATCTTCACAGGAATGTCCAGCACTTTGCCCCAGCCCTTGGCTTCTCCTGCTTCCACTAGAGCTTGAGCTTCTTTATACGATGAGACGGCTATCTCTGGCACTTTGCTCGGCCCGGGACCCTTGTCCTTGATGCGCAAACCTTCGAATGCCTGGCAGGGCATTTCGTGGATCTCTCCGTCGACTTCCACATATTTAAATGAAGATAGATGGCTGACCAGGATGTCCTCTTCTCCGCACACGGTGACTACGCTGTCTCCGACCATATATTTTAACTTCTGATGCAGGGTGGACGTGACTGCCCCCGCCCCATGAATCCAGGGTCTTCCAAGCAAGCAACTGTACGCAGGCTGTAGGTCCATGATATAAAACTCAGTTGCAAACACCTCCGGCCCCACCTGTAGAGGCAATGTAATCGATCCAAAGATTGTTCTCCGCGTGCCGTCAAACGCTCTGACTACCAAATCGCTGGGTGTGCACAAGATTCCTCTAACATCCAACTTCATCATCGCCTTCTTGGGCAACACATTCAAAGATGACCCGGTGTCAACCAAGACGTGTGACATTACTGATCCTCTACACTCAACAGATACGTGTAATGCCATATTATGATCTCTCCCTTTCGGAGTCAAGTCAAAATCAGTAAAGCCCAAGCTGTGGCCTGCATTCACAT